AATTTGAAATAGGAAGGTCCAAAGGGGTAGGGGAAGTGGGAGGGGTAGAGGAAAGGAAAGAAGGGAAAGGAAAAATTATGAGAAAAGGAAAAAATGGAAACAAAGTCTTTGTAAATAGGGAGGGGTGAGGGGGGTGAAGGGAGGGCAGGAAAATGGGGAAAAAATAAGAATCAAGATACATCATGTACAGGTACAAGTACTCAATGATAAATGTAAACATATTGTATACCTAAAATATACCAATAAAATAATTTTTAAAAGAAAAAAAGAAAATGGATTTCCATTTTTTTTTTCCATCTCTTCCTGCTTTCTGTCCTCTGAATGTACTTCTTTTCTGCTGCTACTTTATTTTATGCTCCTTGTGTGAAAAATACAGAATATAGGAGCAGGAAAGCAAAGAAAATGTGTTCAATTTTGATGTTTCCAGGTCTTTGTGCCCCTACTCCCCAAGAAGCTCAAGTGTACCTGCATTGATTGATAACTGATTGTTTTTTTGAAACAAGATCTCACTATGTAGTCTAAGCTGACCTTGAACTTGCTTAGGGCAGGCTGGCCTCAAGGCAATCCTCCTGCCTCAGCCTCCCCAGTGCTGATATTATAGGTGTAAACCACCAGACCCAGTGCCTGCTTATATTTAAAGGCAAGGTCTATAGTAGGGTTAAGGAAAGGGCACCCCTGCCACATACAGAGGCCCTGCCTCCCAATTATTCTTTTTTTTTTCTTCCAATTATTCTTTACAATAAGCATGGGGTTGAATTTCCAGATCAGTTAGCCATTGAGAATTCAATTTCTAATCCTTGCTGTTGCTGGCCCTTTTTATTTAGTTTTCATTTTTTAATTTTGAGACAGCATCTCACTAACTTGCCCAGGCAGGATTTGAACCTGCAAACCTCATGCCTTAGCCTTCCTAAATGCTGGGTTTATAAGCATGTGCCACAGTGCCAGCTTCCTACTACTTAGTGTTTTGGAGACAGGTTCTTGCTAAATTGCTCATGCTGGTCTCAAACTTACAATCCTCCTGCCTCAGTCTCCCAGAATTCTGGGATTACAGGAGTGTACCACAACACCCAGCTCCTTCTACATTTCTGAAAAAGTATTTTCTTTTTCCTCATGAGTCCAGCATTACAAAGATGTTCTTTAAAAGAAAAATGTTAAGACTTTATTCAGGACGTATGTCAGGCATTATAACAAAACAGCAGAACTTCAGCCTTTGGAATACTGTAATTTTACATCCCTTTGATACACAGTCCAGTATTCTATTTAATTACACATTGTTCTATAGACCGGAAATAAACTAGAGGAAATGTGCACAGTCACGATCAAGAACATCAGCTCCTTGAGTGTACACTGTTAGAGGAGGAGGCCCGTCCTTTGGCATTTCGAATACTGTATGACATGAAGAACTAGGAAGGCTCAACAATGGCCGTGGTTGACAAGCACTCTTAGCACAAACACATGGACGGTTACCACAGAGGACACACATGTCAAAGGCCAGCGAAGTAAGCAAGCTATTCACACAGAGCCAGGAGGGATCATGACTAATGGCTCCAGTTGGTAAGCACAAGACCACACCTCACCTCCTCAGAAATGGAACAGGTGCTGGATGACAAGTAACAAAGTTTTGACATGGTAATTACAGACTATCAGGAGCTAGCATTTTGTAAACAGCCTGTGTCTGTAAGTGAGCAAATTTTAAAAATTGAGTTATATCCTCTTACAGAACACCACACCACGTGTACACTGATAGGCATTCACATTTTATGTCTGTCCATACACAAATATACAGCTTGTTGGATAAGTAAACACATTTTGCCAGAAATATGACAGCTGCTCTCAGTTGTACAGTGAGTGTCTTCAAGAGAGAAACCACGCCCTAATCAACACATGAATGAAAAAGTTACATTAAGACAGAAGTTTGAATATACCTTATATTTTAAAATCTTAAGTAATACAGCATGTCCGAGAGTAGAGTGCTTCAAACTGGGTTTTTTGGCATAGTTGAGTACAAACAGCCTGGATTTGTTATAACTTTCCATTGTAAAATGGTGAACTCCGTTGCTAAAGGCATTTTTTATTTTGGCAAAACAAAAGTTTACTAAAAAGCTGCTTCTCTTAAGCTTTTTTGCACTTGTTTCTGATAGTTCTGGGTGTGTCCAACTAATAAATACATTTTAAGGAGTATATTTTTCCTTTTCTGTAACTATTTAGTGAGCTTGAAGAGAACAGGATTTCTGCCTTCTCTAATGGGTTTAAGTATCAGTGGGTGTGGGGTACAGTGAACAGACAGCTTCTATTTGCCCTCTCAACCATGAATTTGCTTTTAGATCTATTTTCCTAAATCCTTTTGTAAATTACAAAATCACCTTCAGGTGAAGTGTGGGAAGAAGGGATTTCAATATGTATATCTGTCAACAATCAACTTCAACTAAAACGCTTTGTAAGGTGGCTTCAATCCAGCTAATGTGTCATCAGCAAAGGCCACCAATGCATGTTTGCGTAGCTCAGTATTGGGACAGTTTTGATTGGGCCTGCCTGCTTTTAGTCGGTGGACAGTGAGTTCTATACAGTATATAACACTACTTCTCTAGTCTTCGGGGAGTATCTATGAACAAACACAATCCAAATATTATGAGTACCTGGTTTGTGACCACTGCATGCAGTACACTGAAAGAAAACACCAACTCTAAGCACAAATATACTGGTCCTACATTTTGGCTCAGCTTTCAGAGGGGAGGGCAGCTACCTCAGACTACAAATCCATCTAAATCAGATTCTTATTCTTAGATAAAATCCTCAATCTTGGCAAGAAGTCCCCTCAGTACTTTCTTCCCCTACTAAGCAATCCTGGCTGATAGAAAACATCCAAAGACCCGAGTGCCTGTGAGCATGAGTCCATTCCCATTCATACTCCACACAAGCCAGGAAGGGAGCAGAAGGTGTGAGCCACAGCTGGCCGTGGACCTGATCATTATCTATAATGATCTCCACCTCTAAAACCTTCCAGAACCCACCCTTTGGGTTGTTCTACATGTGTCTCATGTATTTCAGAACATACCTGAAACAAAGCATAGTTCTAGCTTTTTGTGGGGATGTTCTGTTTCATTTTGCTTAGTGTTCTCTGAAACAAAGTGCTCAGACTTTAGGCTTCTCTACCTGAGGAAATTAGCTGCAGCATGGGCCACTTTGAAGGAGAAAGAGTCACGTGGCAAGAGGAAATGCTCAAGATCCTTCTAACAATTCTGAGTTCCCATCCCTAAGAAGTGTTGCCAAGGGTGAGTCACTTGCCTGAGGCAGGATTAAAGACTCTGGCAGGGCTCAAAGGCTCCAAACCCTGAATCCAAGGAGGAGATGAGCTTCCAGTGACCTCCCAATCACTCACTAACACTCATCCCTGATGCTAATGTCTCTCTCTACTCCCGAGGTCTCTGGTCTGTTGACTACACAACCACTAGAAAAATACAGACAGCATCTTCCTGAGGGAAAGGGGATGCTTTACTGGAGCTGGATTTGGAAGCTTTATAAGCACACTGGAGACACTCTAGAATCAAATTTTTTTTTTTTAATATTTCTGTTTTTGCAGTTTTCTCACTTAGAACCTTTGGCGGCCCTTGCAAGTTCATTAAGCCAAAAGCCATAAATATGTACATCATAGTCCAAAGTATTAGTACCAAAAAACAAAAAAGTGTTTTTTTAAAAAATTGCTTTTTTGCATTTACAGGACTAAAAACTAAATATGGAACAGATAAATTACAAATGTACATGTCAGCAGCAAAGGGGTGATTTCCATTTCTAAAAATACTGCTGTCTGTAATGATGATCCAATTGGGGAACATTACTAACCTCAGAAAACTCAAAGGTCACCACCCCTCACCACCACCTTTCCCTTTAGTCTCTCAGCAAAATAAAGAGAAGGGAGGAAAACATAAATTCTTCAAGGTGGAAGAGGGGAGCGAGAAAAGGCCATGTCAGTGATGCTACACACTCAAAGAACACCCAGCCTTCAGATTTCTGTAATTAGTGACTAGCTCTTTAAGGCAGAGGAGAAACATTCTGTGGATCCCTTGCTGTTGGCTCATCTCACGTGGTTTCATTGGCTGAGGATGAGGTACTTTTCTTCCTGAAGCGAGATCGAAGGATTCTAGGCGGTGCCTGGTAGAAAAAAGGAAAATAATGGCATCATTGAATATGGCATGAATATGGCCCCTTGGGGACAGCACCTGGGGGAAGCGGTCATCCAGTGTGGTGACAGTCAGCTCCTTTGGCCAGAATGCACATGGTTGAGGTGACGGGGAATGGGGTCCCTCTGAGTCTCCAAAGCAGGAATCAGACTCTAGAGGTGCACCCCACACACCCTGTGAAGCTGAGCCCACTGAGGAGGCCGACATCTCCTCTGCCTGCCCTGTGTTCTGCTTAAGTCCCCAGCTCTCACAAAGGAATGGCTGGCAGAATGACCCATCTTTCTTGTTTCCGCCTTGGGAGCAAGTGATCTTGAATGACTCAGCAGAGAGAAGAGCCTCCCATCTCTTCCCTTGTCTTTGTTCTTTCCTTTGGGAATGGGCCTTGTGTTCCTTGGTATGTGCTTCAAACTTCCAGTCCCCATTCTGGATGTGGAACCCTTTGAGAGACAGCAAACCATACCACAAAGGCAAACCTCACCTTTAAGTATTAGGGTTCCACCTCATCTCCCCCACAAATGACTCTCAAGACACACCTCCCATGGGATACACAAATCACAGGAGGATTACTATGACAGTGAAAGAAAGAGGGGAACCTTGCATAGCACTTCAAGGGATTCACACAAATAGCTTCAACCTGTACTCCGCCACTGTCCCTGTTTCTGTAGGGAGAACTTTCTGCACCCTGTCCTTTCACACTGTTGCTCCTTCTGACAGGGAGCTCTTCCCTCCCTCCTGTCTTGCATCTCAGTCCCTCTGAGCACCCAGCTCACAATCACTTCTGCACAGGACTCCCTGAGCCACTGCCCAGCCACACTCAGGTGAGGCTGCCTCACCAATGTTGTCCTCTGGCAGCGTTTTGTGCATGCCACACAGCAGCAGCCTTTGCACCTATGTGTGTGTGGCGGGGGGGTTCACTGCCCCCCTCCACCCCGGGAGCTGACATGAATTCCAGGCTTAGCCATCCTGCTGCCAAAACAACATACACACCTACAACTGCCTGTAGTATCCCAAGTGTATTGTTTTTGGTAATTTAAAAGGGCCTTGGCCTTTAATAACATTTTGTGAACAGCTGCTTTGTACCAGGCATAGTGCTATGCCTTGGAGAAACAGTGATGAGCAAGCCTCATTTATAAAAACATGTCACATTTAGAAAAGTAAATCAAAACCTAGATGCCTTACTACTCTCCTATTTCTAAATGAAATCTGTAGTGTCTTCTCTCTACCCCACCTCCACCTTGGCAAGTAGCTGTTTGCTAGTTAGTAGTTTATCTTGCCTGTTGGATTGAGGGAAATCTTTTTCACCGAAGCGCTTCGGAGATGGTGGCTACCCCTGAGAGATGTCTCTCCTGGGAACCCCAGATCTCCAGGGCAAAGCCCCTGGGCAAACACATGCTCCACAGCCCACAGCCCGAGACACCGTGTACCTCCAGGGGCAACTCCGTCCTTCTCAGTGTCTTATACTTGTACATGAAATCCAGCAGGTCTTCCTCCTCCTCGTCAGAAAATGCCAATGGGTTTTGGACCTGACGGGGCTCCCAGGCCTTCACACCACCCTCATTCACATCTCCCTCAACCACTTAATGTCCATTTATAATCTACACAGAGGAAACAAAGTACAGCAAGGAGGGGTCAGTGTCGAAAGGAACAAGGAAGGACAGGAAAGGCAAGGATAGGCACACAGCACAACAAAAGCCAGGCCTGTTAGCACAACACACACACACACACACACACACACACACACACACACACACCCGTGTCCGAACAAGCTCCAATGGCTTTGGGGCCTCCTGCAGGGAGGGGGTCAGGGTTGAGCAAGTGCAACTGTAAGACTCACCATGAACAGAGCCTCAGGCTCAGAATCTACCAAACAGCTACCAAGGTGGGTGTGGAACTACTTTCCCAGGAGAAGCAGCGGCCTTGACTGAGATGGGTCAAACCCTGCAGCTTACACTTGTGGCTCCAGATCAGAATGCTCCAGAGGAAGGATCTCCTCCAGAGAGGATGGTGGGGTGATCTCAAGGGAGGAGGGCACAATTTTCTATATTACACACACAAGCAGCGTTGACAGTGCATGATGTGTGTTCAGTTCCTTCACTTTTCCTTTCCATTCACAGTTTTTACTAAAGCACCCACACAAATTACTATGCAACGTAGAAACATGAACCGGCCCTGGGCTTCTGCCTCCTTTCTGAGATGGAGGCAAGAACCAGACTGATTGACCCAAGTCCCTTCCTCCCCCCAAAGCCCAACCCCAAGATCCCAGGCAGCAGCACAGCACCCACTCTGGTCCCTTCCTGGGGTTGCTCCTTACAAGGGGGTACACCAAAGCTTGTCCCCAACAATGCCTGACAATGCCAATCGCAAAAAGTTTCACCATCCCCTGGGTCAGCTCCAACACTTTAAGAGACGGGATGTAAACTGCCAGAAAGCCTGAAAGGATGGACAACATTGAGAAGAGCTGTGCAGATTTTCTCCTTTCCAATGGCAGTCCTGGAAAAGCAGAGGAGCCTTGTGGAAGGAGAAATTGAATGTAGCCCCCTCCTTCCAAGAATATGACAGCAAGATTCCTATTTCAGTCTGCTTGAATAAAACCACAGGAAGAGCTTCAGAATCAATTCCTCATTGAATACAGTCTATTCCATGTTATCTGGCCAGGCAGCCCTATCTTCATAGAGATATAAAATATTCTCTGCCATACCTAGCTTATCTGACATGCACAGAAACACCTTTCAATGCTTCCCACATTGTTTTCACCTAGAATCACAGAAGGTAGAGCTCAGATCATCTGGTCCCTCCACTCTGAGGTCTGCAGATAAAAACCCAAGCTCTTCCTGGGACTCCCTGTCTGCTCCTGAAAACATGATCAGTCACCAAACATGCTTTGTTGCGACCTGACAGCACCACATGTGAAGCAAATCTGACAAGTGAACCCTAATCTTGAGCAGCTTTACTGGCTTCTGCTGTCCTACTCCCCAGCAGCCAGCAGGGGGCAGCATGAGAGCGCAGCTGCCTTAACCAGGCCTTTCAAATGAGAGCTGCAGGCGGGGGCGGGATCCGCTCAGATTGTGCCTTAGTAAGAGCCTGACATCATTAATCCTCCTTAGCTTGTTTTCACGTGGTGCTCCCCTTGGTCTGCTTACTCCAAGTTCAAATTGCTCTCTGGCCCCTTCCCTTGCAAAATCAGCAGGACTTAGGACCTTGTTGAGCACAAACACTTGCAACCCCAGGAAGATGTCTCTCAGTACTGTGGCCCACCCTGAGACCCCCACCCTGCATGGAGTCTGTAGCTGGAGGCCTGTGCTACAAGCCCCAGTTCTCCTGTCAGCCTCCTGCCTCAGCCTAGCAGAAGGTGTCAGGAATTATGGGGCCATGGCTGATCCTCCCTCACTCCCTCAGAGTGCCTGGCCCAGGGCTGGGTGCACAGTGGCTACTTATCCATTGAGTGGAAGCCTGGGGTCATCTCAGAGAGCTCAGCTCTCACCCCAAATTAGAGCCTGACACCCATCAACAGGAAATTCCTCTGGACACAAACAGTAGCTCCTCCCTGACAGGAGGAAGAAGAGACAGGACCACCCAGGACCCAAGGTCCCCAGACCAAGGTAGAAACTGCACAAGCAGCCTGTCCCTGCCCCCACCCTGGCAGGAAACCACATGCCTGGGTACCTTGTGCCTCTGCACATGCACATGCCGTTCCTATAAATCCTGTTCCAGGGCTTTTGCTGCACTGACTACTGTGGGCAACAGAGGCGCCCTGAGGAGCTGCACAGTCCTGGGGTTCTTATGGCTCAGCCATTCACCCAGTCTGGAAGCACTGAGGCTGAGCAATGAACTCACACATTACCAAAATAATTATAACCACCTCCAGACCAAAACCCAAAGACCTCATGAGTGTCCTCCACTGCATCCTTGAGCAAGAACTACAGGATCAAAAAGAAGTGACCCTCAGGCCCCCTAGGAGTCAAGGGGCACGAGATGTCTGAACAGGAATAGAAAACTAGTGCTTAGCTGAGCAATGGCTGGGAGACAGCAGAGAGGCTAGCATTGGGAGCCTGGGGTCAGAAGTAGCCTCAGATGCAAGCTGCAGAGCTTCCTAAAAAGAGACAAACCCCTCCACCGCTGTGTTCCCTAAGCATTTTGCCACCAGTATTTGTAATACTCTCAGGGTGGTGAGAATAAATGCTCTGAACAAGCCTGGCCTCTGAGCCTCAGGCTGGCTGCTGCACTCTGGACACCAACTCTCTTAACTGATGGCATCTCCAAATATGCAGAGGTTGGGGGTAAGTCCAGTATCTTCAACTGTCCACACCTCAATGGCCCACATTTTAAACTGTCTTCCAACCCTCACCCCACCGCTCTTGCCCACCCGCCTCCACCGAGCTTGCCCACTCCCTTCCCCCAGGCTTTTCCTTATTTTGAGTCACTGTTTAACATCCATTTCCACACAGGCTTAAATATTTTTTGGAACAGGGAGGAGTATAAATGAGAAATAAACCACTGAGGCAGTGCCAGGACCAGGATGAAGGGCAGCAGGGGAGGAAATGCAGCGATGTGCCTCCTCAATGCTCCTGTCTTTGCACATCTGCATAGAATTCATGACCTAACAGGTCCTCAGCCCTGATAACAGGCCTGGAAGGTGTTGCCATCCACATCCTAGATCCCTGATGGCCCCAGAGACAACCTGGATGGGAGCAGGGACTCCCATGCAAGACCAGGGTCCCAGTTCTTCTCTAACCTCAGGTGCCAGCAGCCAAAGCCTTGAGGCCACAGAGCTGCCACCAAGGACCCAGGGGCTGGGGGGCTGCTAGGAAAGGGCAGGGGAATGGGTGTGTGTGTGTGTTAGCAACCCCTCAGCACTGCACTCCAGCCTGGCTGGGGCCCCTCCTCCTCCCTATGGTGGGGCAGGGAGGAGGAACCAGCTGCATGTAAGCCCTTTAAAGGCCTAGGCAGAGCCACCTGCTAGAAGCCATGGGCCACACCACCCCTCAGTGCAGCAGAACACCCCCAGGTTAACAAACACATCCACACAGCACAGGCTAGTGATTAATGGAAGGCAGCAACTGTGTCAGAAGAGCATGCCCGTCTGGAACACTTACATCCGAGTCCCCAGCAGCCACCAAGAAGAGAGGAGAGAACACTGTTAGGGAAGGGTCCTCAAGGATGAAACTCACACATACGTGTGTGTAAGCATGCACACACACACACACACACACACACACACGCTCACTGCACACGTTCCATACCTCAGATGGCTCTTCCCTGTTCCAGCTGTGGTCAGAGAAAAGAGGAAAAGAGGCTGGACTGCCAGGATCATTCAAAAAAGTGCTGCTCATGCTCATTCACTCATATTCATCCTCACTCTCCTTTCTCCTCTCTTCTTTATTCTCTTTCTCTCAACTACTTTTTAAAATTATGTCTCAAATACTTGGTTTAAAAGGGGGGGCACCTCCTCTGGCTAATTACACATAGTTACCCTCAGTTCAGTTCCAAGTTCCATCAAGGCAGGTGGAGAGAAAAGAGAGGAAAAGGGTGGTAGACAGAGATAATAATAGAAGCACAGAGAAAGAGAGGCAGAGACATATGCAGGAAACAATAGGGAATCCACCAACAGACAGGCAGGAACAGGGCACAGCTGGGGTGGGAATGTTCTCCTGGTGTCTGAGACGTGCGGCTTAGAACAGAGGCTCTGCCCGACACCTGCTGCTCCCTGGGGCCTCAGCCTCTACTGTCACGTGGGTCGCTGCCTTGTGACATGGCCTTTAGCCCCCAGGATGACCACTTTTCCTTTCCCCAGCCCCATCCTGAATTAAGACCTGGACTTACAACCCCTGGGAAATTTCCCTTTCTATTCAAGGTCCCTGGGGCTCTACAAATCCCCAAGAACGGCTTAAACCGTCCCAGGATCTGGCCTGAGCAGCCCCAGCATGTGACATCATTTCAGGGGCCCAGGAGGGGAGTAGCTGTGAGTCCCTAAAACTCTCTCTAGTGGCATCGCTGCTGAGAGTTGGCCTCCAGCCCCAGGTCCAGGACAAACCTCCCCCAACACCATCTGCCACCACCTCTCAGCCTGGCACTCTTCACTACAGAAGCTGTCAGACCCGAAGGACCTTGTGGGCATCCAGCTCAACCCTGCCACCTTTCCAAGGGGAACCTGGGCCTAGAGAGGGGGGACTGTCCCAAGGCCACAGAAGGGAAGGCTGTGCCGGATCATCAGATGGCCGGCCCCTTGCAAGCACACTCGGGAGCAAGGAGCAAGAACCCCAGGGCACTGAGCATGAAGAGGGTCCTGGAGAGGCAGAGTCCAAGCAGGGGGGCTGGGGCCAAGGCTTCCACTGAGCACCAAACAAGCCCCCACCCCTCTGGGATAAGGAGCCACTGAATCCCAGATACTCTTCTATACAGACAGCTTCCCAGAGCAGCTCCCAAAACACAAATCCCTGCAGTTAGCTGCAATTATATGTCAATGTCCTGAGAGGCAGCCTCTGGTTATGAAACCTCACAGCAGGCAATGGCTTCCAGCAGTGCAAGGAGGACAGAATGAAGTGGACGGCAGCCTTACTCTTCCCAGTCCCCCAGGTGACAATATCCCAGAATGAGAGAAGCATGGAGTTCAGATCCAAAATGTCACAGACAGAAGTAACCAGGCCACCCTGGACCGCTGGGACTGCAGCGTTGTTTCCTGGGAAGTAGCATGTCCTCCAGCCCCAGTCCTAGTATCTGGCATGGGAAACATCTGCATGAGGACCCTGTGTTGCCAATGTGGGCTGGGAGGCCCAGAGGGGCACAGGCTGGTTAGTCATGCTGGGGTAGAACTGGTTTCCAACCATGCCCTGCACAGCATTCCTGTCTGCTCTCTCCTCAGTCCTAGGCTTCCGCAACCCCCAGGTCTTTTATAGACCTTAAAAAGCTTAGCACTGAGAAGCCTTACAAATGAAATGGAGGGAAAGCAGGACACTTCTAATGCAGTCTCAAGTCCTCCTGGTTGCCATCCACATGGGAGGGACACGCCATGCCACAGTAGCACAGGACATCCTGGGCACCATGCATGGCTTCCTCTCTTCCTCACACCACCAGCAGGCTGCAGGCTAGGGTGGCCTCTCCACCTTCCAAGCTAATGGCAGCTCCAGGGTTGGGGGAGCCAGGAAGGGTCACAAGGCGATGGGTTCAACAGGTTCCCTTCTTTGTCCCTAATGTGTCCAGTTAAGGTTAGGCACACAGGAGGAGCAGTTCATGAGAAAACAACATGACCAATGGTGGGGTGGCCCTGCCCTCAGCATGCCATCACTCACACAGGCTGGGCGGACAGCAGCAGGAGGCCCTGTCCCAAACTGGAAGACCCCGACTCAATCTCTCTTCCTGCCTTGTCCTGGTTACTCCAGGCAGTAATAACAGTAATCCTTCAGAAATCCCTTCACAGCCATTTCCAGAGCTGCAGTGGGAGGGAAAGCAGGGACCTTTTTCTCCATTTTAAGATGAAGAAATTGAGCTCAGAGTAGTTAGTGGCTCACACGAAGTTGCACAGCTAGTAAGTGGCAAAGCAGGACCAGGGCTCCCTTGGCTGCACCAATGTCAGAACCCTCTAGAACACAGGGCTTCATGACTTCAGAGGATCTTGGTAAGTTCTTGAGCTCTCATTACCCAGAACACAGGGAAGAATACCCCTATGATGGCTTTAAAAACACCTGCACACATCCTTTGATACTCTTTCCTTCAAGAGGTGGAGATAATGCTCCTCCCCTTGAAAGTGGGCTGGAATTGATAATTAGCTTCCAACAAATAGAGTATTGTAGAAGCAGTGGGTGGGACTTGAAAGATGAGGTTGCAAAAGGTACTGTGGTTTCCTCCCTGCCCTTTCTCTCCTGGATCACTCACTCTGAACCAATCTGCCATGTTGCAAGGATGCTGAAGCAGCCCTGCAGAAATACCTGTGGTAAGGAACTGAGGCCCTCAGCCAAGAGCCATGAAAGCTATCTTCCAGTGCATCCTCTGGATCGCTCAAGCAGTGGCCCACAGCTTGACTGCAGCTTCATGAGAGGTCAAGCCACTCTCAAATTCCTAGCTAGGAACTAGAAGACACTGTGTGTTCTGTCTTAAGGAATTAGCCTCCTGTGCCCTCCCAGCCAACCATGCAGCCAAAAGGGAGCCCAAGATCAGGTGGCAGCTATGGGTTAGAGCCTCAGCCTGTGGTGAGTCCAGCAGGCTGCAAGGAGGCTGACTGCTTACTCACCTTTCTGGGTCCGGCAGGTGGAGCAGCAGGTACACACTGTGGGAATGGGATGGGGCACCATCAGCGACATCCCCCCAGCCCTGGGTAAACAGGGAGGCCCCAGGGCACTGTGGGAATCCCTGGTGTTCAAAACAGAGGTCCTAGGAAAGTGGATCTCTGCAGAGACCCCAAGGTGGGGTCAGGATCACCTCAAATTCCACTTCTTTTCAGGTGCTATCTAGAAAACACCCTCCTCTGGCCCACAACAGTCAGGTCTTGCATTGTGCAGCCCAAGGGAGGGTAGGGCATAGACAGAAATTTCCTATGGGAAATAACTTCAACATCTACTCTCCCAGAAGCCTCCTCTCTAGGCCTTCTGGTTCAGGCCTCCTCGCACTGACCCCCAAACAGGAAAATGCTTAGTGTCCTATTGCTGGGTTGAAGGCCTAATTGGCTACTTCCTGAATACACTATTGGTCTTGGTGCACATCTGGGCCTTGGCAGGTAGTAGGTGTTCATTAAGTGCAGGTTGAGTGACTCCAGATCCATGGATGGCCAAGATCATTCTTTTAACACTCTTGCTGGTGGCCAATGCTTGCCATTCAATCCTTGCCTGTCCTCACCCTTTGAGCCAGGAGGAAAACTACAGGCAGGTGAGAAGGTCAGTGGAGAGGCAATTCAGCCCCACTCTGGGTGCTGAAAGCAACTCCAATGCCCAGACTCTGCATCCTCCTCAGACCACATGCAGGGGCCTCTGTGTGCCAGGTGTGTGGTGGGGGGCAGTTGCAGAGGGAACAGAGAACCTGAGTCCACCTGCTAGGAGCAGGTAGGCCAAAGTGACAATGAGGAATGCTTTATGTGCCTCCTTTCTCCATTCCTTCTTTGCTTGCTTCTTCCTTTCTTTCCTCAAGAGGCAGAGGGCTGAGTGGATCTTCCTTCTCAGTTCTCAGCAAACAGCCCTCACTGGTTCAAAGGCACCCCCTCCCTTTTGATGTATGTATGTGTGACTTTATTCTAACACGCCACCCATGTTTCCTTCCTTCTCAAAAAGCAGTGATTTTAATACCTGAATGTGCACCTTTTTGTTTAGATGTGTTCTTTCAAACTCCATGTTGTTATTTTGTATGATGGGTGTTATGTTTTTATTTTACCTAAATTGTTACATAAAATTGCATTGTTTTGTACTTTTCTCATGAGGCACCATGTTTTCAAGATCCATCTGTATGTCCGTTTAATCTGTGGCTTCCTATGGCTGTGCAGAACTCCATGGCTGCAGCTATCACCTCTTACCTGTCCTCTCCCAGGCTGTCTTCAGCGCCTGACACCTGACCAGCATTTGCAAATTGTCTTGTTTGCTGTGGCACAACCCTAAGACACAGGCTGAATAGGGATTATTAGGCCCTTTAACCAAAGGCAAAAGCTGACGGGAACCGGGTCAGTCTCTTGTGCCATGGTTGAATCCTTGGTGTGACTGCTTGGGCTACTGTCCTGAGAAAAGCTCTGAAGTTGAATCTAGGCCCAGGAGGGACAAGTGTGGCAGCAGCTGTGTTGCATTTTCTGCACCTGCACAGGCCCAGTGTCACCCTACCAAGATAGAAGCCCAGTTGCTCCCCTACTCTGGTGCTTCCCCCACCTGGCCATGCCTGGCATCTGAGGTCCACCCTGTGGCTGAGTGGGGGAGGGCTCAGCAGCCCTGGGTGGTTGGGCTTCCTCTGACAGACTTCCTCCTGGGCACCTGCTCAAGGGTATGACAGCACTCTGATGTCCACTTGTCCATACCCAGGCCTGAGCCACCTTTCACCTGTATTTCTTTCTGAGACAGCTTTTACTTTGGGCCTCAGAATAGCTGGGGAGAGTGCCATAGCATCCCTGGCCTCCCTGCCGGGTCAGCACTTCCCTCCGCTGCCCCATAGAAATCACAAATGTTGAGGTCAAGGGCAGGGACAGAGGAGGACAGGCCATGCTGCAGCATAGCTGGGTCTCTCAGCCCCACACCACAGCCTTCCCTGCTGCCTGGGGAGGGGCAGTGTGGCAGGGAAGTCACCCAGTCTGCTAACGGAGGTGGCAGAGCTAACACCAAAACAAATCATCCCAACCTCTTTTCCACCTGGTGCGGGGCCTGGAAGATGTCATGGCCTAAAAGACAATCCCAGTATCCTTTAGATCCTGCCAGGCTTCTCACATTCCCAATTCTGAAGTTGCCCTGAGTAATTCTCAAAGGGGAGGACCAAGCAGGAGGCCTGGATTCTGGTCCTCTGTGGCTTTGGCACAGTGCATGACTTCTCCGAGTCTGCTTTCCCTTCTAGGACCGCCTCTATAATGGCAAAATAGACTCTCAGAGAGGGAGAGGGACTGCAGGGCTACTAGGCCATTTCCCAGCCAAAGCAGGGGTCCCTGTCTAGAGCCTGACCACTGAACTTTGGCTTGGGCCCTTCAAATGTCGGGGAATCTCACTACCTCACAATGCAGCCCATTTCTGTGATACTTTCAGTGTCACAAAGAGCTTTCCTGGGTGTGATAAATAACAAGAAGACCAACAGTAGTAGCTACTACATATTGGTGCCAGGCACCATGCTAAGTACTTTGACTTACCTTATTTCTAGTGATCCCTGCAGATGGTGGCATTCCTATGTACAGAGAAGGAATCTGAGCTATGGAGAGTATCACAGCTTGCCCAGTTCACATGACTAGGGAGTGGCTATTTTGTCCCTTGGTTCTTGCTCTGCCCTCTGGGCTTCAACAAATAGGGTCCTTTTTCCTTCCAAGTGACAGTTCTCATTTGAGGCTCAGGAGCTGGACAAGAGGGGAGGTGATCCCTGTTCATGGGTAGACTGGGTGGTAGCTGAGTCCTCCTGCCTGGATTTGGGGATTCCACGCTGGGTTCTAGGGGTGATGAGGTTCCCTCAAGAGATAATCGCTACCTCACATCCACAGCCAAGCCTCTTCCTCACCCACTTTGCCTGGCTTCTGGGGTTAAAACATCTCCCACTAAAAATCCATACTTGTCGGACCTGGGGGAGGAGCAAAGGGCACATCCCTGAGAAGGGTAGGAACACCAAGGGGTGCTTCACTCTGGGTGCAAGTCACCATTCTCAGAGAGCCTGGGCTCATGCTCCCCCACCCCAAGAGTCAGGTGGGATCTTTCAAGACCTGCAGCTCAGGGCAGAGGTGCCCCCTATAAGCTGCACCTCAGAGCACACAGTCAGGGTTCAGGTGGCCTGGGGGGCCCTGTTTGTACAATTAAAGGCAGGTCAGACTGCAGGCACACATCCACAAATTCCAAAGGAATGGCCCAATTCCCACCCGGGAGAGGTGGAGGTAGCAATCTAGCAGCATCCTCCACACCCATCATCAACCCTTGGTCAGCAGGAGTAGTGGTCAGCTTCTGAGATCCAAGGTCCCCAAGGAACAGTCTAGGAACTCTGAGTGCTGGTTCCCAGCTCCTGGTTTAAGCCCACACTCTGACTTGCTGTGAGCCTGAAGCCCATGTTGAGGGATCAGATGCCATGGGGTCCCCCCCACGCAGCTGCACCTCAACAGCATTGTGCATCTAGGTCTCATTCCAGACCTACTAGGGCCTCTGGGAATGGGCCCAGGATTCTGCATGTTGAACAAGGTTCCCGAATTGGTTCCCATGTGAGCAGCCTCAGGCCAGGCGCTTGAAAATTGGAGTTAGACATTGGACGTAGAGGTGCAGTTACCAGAAGCCCTGGCCCCTATAGAACTGAACCTAAGAGCTACTATAGGTCTTGGTATGTGGAGGCTGTGGTGTGCATGGTGAATGGGTGGTCAGAGAAGAGGAGGAGACAGAAGAGGGAGAGAGAGGACAGGAAATGTCCAGGCAGAAAGAAGGCCTGTGAGAGGTGGTCAAAACAGGAAAGGCCCCCACAGTTGGAGTCAGAGAAGAAGAGAACAAAGAAGGCATACACAGTCCAGCTCCAGCTGTGGCTGTTGCCTCTAGGATTGTCCCAGGCACTGCCACTCAAGCACCCCCAACTCTCCAGGCTGCCCATGGAGGAAGCAGGACCCTCTGGTGCAGAGTCCTGAGGCCAGCTTCCTGGTGTGGCATGAGTGGTGCTGTGCCCCTCAGCTGGCCTGGCATGGTCTGACAGACATCTCTATCAGTGGCAGGTCCATGGGCAAAGGGCAGAGTGAGTGTTTCTCAATGAAAGTGAGGCACCAGGGGTGGGTGGGGTGAAGGGGAAGTGAAGAGACACCTACCTGAGCTGCCAGCACTCTCAGAAGCACTCCTGGACATCTTAGGCTGGCTGTGTTTGCCACTGGCCCTCCCAGCCCCAGGCGGAGGGGGCCCCGAGGAAGCAGGGGCACCGTCTCCCCTGATGGTGGTGAGGTCTTGCATGCTGAAGCTCCGGAGTCTCTCTGATAAGGCACCCTGTCCCTGGACACAGCACAGAAGGGCACATGTCAGAAGTCTGGCACAGGTTCATGGGCAGCGGCAGGGGCAGACTCGACAAAGGGATTCTTGCTCTGAGGGTCATCAAGGTGGAAATCAAGACCAGGATGGCTCTGCAGAGGGGTAGGGGCTCAGATATACCAGCTGGAAACAATGAAGGAATCCGGAGAGCCCCAGGAGAGGGGTTCAGCCATTGCTCCTCTGGCTCCAGTTTCCTCCTTCAGACACCCCATGACAAGCTGGAGCCCTGGGCAGACCACGGGATGACTACTGCCTGCCATCCTTACTCCCTAGAGGCTGTTGGCTGCTTCTCTGCCTTTACACAAGTAAAAACCCATATATGGCTTCATTTTTCTCAGTTCTTAGTATACAAGAAAATCCAAACCTAATATTCTGTGCTCAGTCCTAACTCCTTTCAAAGGATATAAAATACAGACAGTGTTTTGTAATGTATGACAACGGTCCTCTCTTTCATCTGTACAGCTGTTTCTGTTTATAAGGCACATTTATGTTGGCACATTTGGGTTTCACAAAATACCCAAAAGGTAATGAATCAGGAAAGGAAAAATGATATTTAAAAAAAAATCCCTGCTGCTGATTGTAACCATTTCATATTCTCAGGGAGCCACAGAATTAATCTCAGGAGAGGACTGCTCTTTTGTTGGGGAAAGCAAGATAAGTGCACTGTACTCATGAAAGGGAAGGTCTTGGCTGCCTGGCGGGGAGACTCTGTCGGAGAAGAAAGGATCACAGTTGAAGGCCCGGGAGGCAGCGATACTCTGGGTCTACCTCAGGGTGGGAAAGAGACTTGGGTTTGGGCAAAGGAAACTTGAAAGTGGAACCTGGGCTGGCAGGAGCCTGAGGTCCCTGAGAACTGGCTGGTATTTGCAGCAAGAAGTGACAGGCAAGTAACCACTAGACCAATTCATGAACTCTGGCATGTTCAAAGATGGGGGGAGCCTGTGGCCTTCTCTCAGGTACTGGGGGCAGCAGTGAGACCACAGGCACACGGGGCAGCAGAGGGGGAGAGGTATTTTGTTTGGATAATGAAAGAGTGGCCCCAGAAGTCTGGAGGACTTGGGGACAATAAGGCACAATAACACAACCAACAAATCAGCACAGAAGTGATCACAGCAGCTAAAACCCGACCCAGGCTGGTGGGTTTGATGAAACAAGCAAGGACCCAAACGACTTTGTCTGAGGCTTTCATAGAAGGGAAGAGGGCTTGGGAGAATCTTTTCATTTTACTTAATAAAAATAATAATAACAAAAGTAAAGCAGTGGACCAACGAAGCACAGCATTTCTCAGATGTGAAAGATTCAGGTGGATAAAGAAAGGAGCGATGCAAAAGGAGTCAGGGGAAGGAACAAACAAAAGGGCTCACAGAAGGGTTAGAAGAAAGGCCAGACTGAAGCAAAGATGTGCTTCGATATGAAATAGGTAAGTTCCCAATCTTCCAAAGATATAAACCATGCCTCCAGGAAGCTAACAGCAACAACAGGAGGAAACTATTTATATAATCAGGCATACATATATATGCACCGATCCCCAGGCCAAAGAGTGTTTGGAGGACATTACGTGAAAAAAGACAGAAATCATTCTCATTGCCTCAGATACTGTGGATCAACAGACCCAAGCCTCACATCTAGAAATTGACACAGTGGGGGGTCGGGGGAATCGTTGCCAAGAGAATGAGGGCTGGATCAGCCGCCCATTATATACCTTCCAAATCTAACAGCCAGTGACCCATGGTCATTTTACTCAGAAACATTTTAAATGACATCTAGAGTTTAGTTATATTTGTGGAGCTAGGCATCGGATCCGGGGCCTTTTGCATGCTAGGCAGATACTCTACCACTGAGCTACACACGCAGCCTGACACCTAGAATTTAGGAGAACAAACACTGATTCTGAAAAGTGTGAGAAAACAGTCTGATAATTATAATTGAGGAATTGAATGTAAGGTTAACAATCAGGCAAACCCCTCACCGACACACTCTTTCATTCACCTTCCCACTTATTCACTAATCTGTTCAACAATGATTTATCAAGTACTTTCTGTGGGCAACACATTGCACTAGGTTTTATTAGGAAACAGTGAAAGTATCACTCAATTTCTGACAAAATATAAGAAAACAAAGGTACAAATGACAACACAAAAGTGCCACACCAGAAGCTACAGAACATAAGAATAAGAAAATAGCTTTCAAGTCAGGCCTGGATTCACATTCCACTCCTGTCAGTTAGCACCCAGGCGATCTTAACCTCTCTCCACCTCTATACCCTCATCTGCAGAAGAGCATTTAGCTGGCAGGGTGTTGGTGAGGCTTCAAGATTATGCTCTTCAAGTAAATGCCCATTACAGAGCTCAAGGCAGAGTAATGTTAAAAAATGCCAATTCTGACGAAGAAGATGATGTTGCCACATAAATTGCTGTTGAAATCAGAAAACGGAAAAGATCACTTCTGTCCAAAAGGACCAGGAGGGGCTTCAAGACTCCAAGCACAAATAAATAGTCAGGGATTAACTCCATCAATATAATCTGCCAGTTCTTGCAAATGCTCAGCAACGTATCTGAGAGAAAGCAGCAGCAGGCAACACGTGCATCCACGTTAGCAAAGGGCTCCATTTCACTCCCAGAAGCCAGCCAGCCTAGCTCCAATATCGCTAGCATCAGGAAGACTGGAAGTGGCAGGGGTTAGGAAAGAGGCGATAATAATAGCTCAGTTCCAATCTAGTCCTGTGTCAGAGTCAATCATAGTGGCATGGAAATAAAAGCCTTGAAAACAAATTAGCCCTTTGCTATCAAAACAGTCAGAGATGTTTAAAATCCCTGTGTCTCTTTCATTTGTAAACCTCTCAGCTGTGCTCAGCCTCTACTCAAAAGCTCATTCTCTTTTAGTTCCCACAAATTTCAATCTACCTTGCCACTTCAGCTCTGCTCTGGAGAACCTATTTTTTTTGTTTGTTTGTTTCTTTTTGTTTTTGTACCAGGGATCAAACTTGGGACCTTGCGCTTTCCAGGCAGGCGGTGGAACCACTGAGCTAAATCCCTGTCCAAGAACCTGTTTTCTTATTCTGGACCAATGTTCTGGGAACAATCAAGAGTTATCTTGTCTTTGGGAAAATATATAGGGATTGGATTCCCTAAGTTTTTTTTTTTTTTTTTTTTTTGGTACCTGGGTACCTGGGATTGAACTCAGGACCATGCCCTTGCCAGGTAGGTACAGTGTGATTCCCTAAGTTTGGAAAAGCTATATACTATATCCTCAAACTCAATGAGCCACTTTACAATATTCCAATCTCTGAGAAGTCCTGCAGTGTCCGGGTTATTTAATTCAGTATATCCCAAATTTACAATGGGATACACTCAGCTGACCAAAAGTCATTCCCAACTTCATTTTTCAAATGATGTGGAAAAAAATATATTTCCCAACTTGCCTTGCAGCTACAGATGGCCTTAGTTGCAGTTCTGGCTAAAGGAATGCATGAGAAAATCTGTTGAGGGATTTCTGGGTTTTTGTTTGGTACCAGGGATAGAGCTCAGGACCTTGTGTTTGTGAGGCAAGCAGAAAATTTGTTTTTGGTTTTTTGGTACTGAGGATGGAACTCGGGACCTTGCGCTTGCGAAGCAGGCAGAGCCACCACTGAGCTAAATCCCCACCCCTGGGTTTCTGGAAAAGATATCTTTCTGACACATAGGAGGAAGGGCTGGGGATAGGAGGAGAAAGGCCTGACCTTTCTCCCTGCTTTCTGTGTGGTTCAGATACCTGGAACTGACATCTTGTGAGCAGGAGAATTACCAAGCCATCTACCCAGAGCCTCGATATCACTAGGTCACTGGAATAATGACACCTCCCACCTACCCTGAGACTTCTTGTAAGTGATGTTCATCAATTCCAAGACACATGTTTTTTCATCATGACTGAAACTGGGTGATCTTACAATTGCTGCCCCCCACACACATACATTGCCATCACTGTCCACACACTTGGCTGTCACTCCCCATGGCATGACTGGACAATGGAAGCCCCTGTGTGTGCAATTACCAAACCACTTAAGAACCACAGGAGGAAGGAATAAAGTCCTGCTTGTCTAAAACACATTCCACCAATGCTTCTGGTACAGCCAAGAAAATGGCAGCGTTAGAACTGGCAGAATGGGTATCCAAAGCTTAAATGAAAGTTCCAGAAACAGCTCTCCATCAGCAGTGCATGGGAAGGAACAGAGGATGATACAGCCTGGCTGTAAATAGCTAAGCTGAGCTGAAAAGTGACTCAGAAGACTACTCTGACAGTGAAGAATGAGGTTAGTAGGACCCTAACCCATTTATTGTGCTTTTGTCTCTTTTAATTGTGTGTGCAAAGTCACACACACAACTATGACCAAGCTTTTTCAATGAGAAGTAGTAAACACTCTAAGTGAAAATGCACTATGTCCTAATGTCATTGGCAATATCTTCATTTTTAGCGGTACTTAAGACAATGATATGAGCCCCAGAATCTGGTAGGCTGAGGCAGGAGGATCACAAGTTTGAGCCCAGCCTAGAAAACTTAGCCCAGCCAGGAGAATCATAAGTTTGAGCCCAGCCTGTCTGAAATAAATTTTAAAAAGGGCTGGGGATATAGCTCTATTGCAAAGACCTTGGGTTCCACCCCCAGTACCAGTTTAAGAAAAGATGATTACGGCTTAGAAACCTCAGTCTTTAGATTCAATTAATTAAGACTGCACAGCTCAGAGTAGCTTTCTCTAACCATCTCGACTCCGTGAAATATGCTCTCCATCTGGCCTGTGTGTCTTTGTTGTGCTCCATACAGTTACATTTACCTGCTAGCACTGTCTGCTGTTTTGCCCCTCCCTGCAGATTATTTTCTTACTATTGCTTCCCAGGCTTTACCACTCTACTGGTGCGGGGGGCAGTCAGGGAGTTGAACAAATGAACCAATCACCATTTTCTGAGTTGCTGCCTAAGAACAGTGGCAGG